CGTCGACGGTGCTAGACTACACAGGACCGAACGTCATGAATAAGAGTCTGGACGAAGACGAACAACGAAAACTCGCTGAGGCTCTACAACGTCATGAAGAAATTGTGATTGCTAGTGGTAATGCACTACCACCCCCAGCATACGGAGGGTTATGTGACATTGATGTGCAGGGGCACATGCCGGTCAAACAAAGAGCACGGCTAACGCCATTACAGGTACTGGAAAAGCTATACATGCTGCTGAAAGGACTACTACGAGCGAGATTGATCACGTTCTCCGACAGCCCATGGGCATCGCCCATCGTAATAGTGCTGAAGAAAAACGGGATCGACATCCGGTTGTGCATCGACTACAAGCGAGTGAACGCTGTTACGACCATTATGGAATATGCAATGCCCTTGGTGGACGATTTGTTGACTGACATGGAGACGTGCTTGTGCTCGCTTGATGCACCAAGTGGGTTCTGGGCTGTGATGATGACGGAGAGAGCCCGAAAGGTATCTGCTTTTGTATGCACACTTGGCAATTTCGAATGGCGCTGGATGCCGTTCGGCCTCAAGAACGCACCTATGATTTACCAACGGATGATGGACAACGCCTTATGAGGATTCGTTCAACCCAAGGGTGGTTAGAAAGAGTACTCTCAGCGTATGCGGCTCGCCGAAGAAGACGTCGAACGTACCAAGACAGGTGTGACAGAGGGTTCAACGAGGCCTCGTTCCAAATTTGAAGCCGACCGAGAGTCTGCATCTAATCCAGACACCGTCTCTGAACTAGTTAATAGTTCGGTAGGCGATATGTTTACGAATGGTGAAGCGGACGAGTCCTCGTTGGTACCAGTATTCGACAGAAGGTCGTTTGTAGATGATATTTGCTTTGGAAGACGTTTGATGGATGTCTGTCAACCCTGGATCGGTTACTCCGGCGGTTTACTGAGTGCCGAATCAGTGTCAGGTTCACTAAGAGTATTTTTTCAGTCACGAGTCGATTTTCTCTCGCATGAGGTGGTTCCAGAAGGGTTACGAGCGGACGCTAAGAAGATCAAGCGGGTGACCGAGTTCTCGTTCCCGACGAGTAAGAGAGACATGCAGTCCTTTTTGGGAGCACTGAACTACTATAGTCGGTTCATCC